TGATATAACTTATCAAGGCATATGAGTTTAACATGATGCCTTGAATAGCCGAAAAATTGACTATAAAGCCCAAGACCATCTCTCAGTAATACAAAACCCATCTCAGCTTTCAAGGCCTAAAGCCTAACAAGATTTCCATTAGGCTCTTTGGTATACTTACTTTGGCTTTCAGAAGGTAAAGCAAATATTCTGATGAATGGAAATAAAGATTCTACATCCAGAAGGTTGAAATGTTAATTGACAACTAATTTAATATACTCTCTAATGTGAACTTGATAACAAAACTGGCCTTTAGGAAAAACTTTACAGATGGCAAGGGCTGATGTTGTAATCAATAATTATGTGAATTACTAATGCAGGCAATGAACAGTTTCCTAGCTGTCCAGATGGAGAAGCATTTTGTAGCAATGTATCAGGAAATGAAACAGTTGATCCTGAAAATTCCAGCTGGAACAAAGCTCTAGTCACTCTAATGTAGCTGAATAGTTGGAGGGTCATGCTACTCACTTCCATCTCTTCAAAGACATATGCACCAGCTTAACTTTCTGAACTGTTATCAGTCTCATTTAAATGCAGTGACTCAGATAATGTGCTGGAAATCAAACCTCCATGTAAGCCTTACATCTTAGCTGAATTCAAAGAGCTGGACTTCATCAAATGAATGAGCTATATGGAAAACAACATTACTAAGGTGCATGGCCAGAAATAGCCAAAATCAGATAGTAGCCAATTTGGAGACTCCAATTATAAGGAAATGTGTATTTTTATTTCCCCCGTATAACATTTTCTGTGTACTATGGTGACTTGCAATTGTATCTGGCAGAATGTATGTGAAAAAGTGCTACTCATATCCTCTTAAGATATTTTGGATCAAGAGAGGATGATTGGCAGTAATAACCAGGAATGTACAGGGTCTCATGAACAGTGCTTCATCTCCATGTAGTGTTAAAAGCTCTTAAAACAAGGGTGATATATAGTGACAAGAAATAAGATGCATGACTGCACAGTGTAGCACAAAGTGTGCAGGAACACAGAAGCATGTTGCCTCAAAGAGCTGTGGACTGTATTTTGGATCCATTTTCTGTCTCAGCAACAAAGCTGGACAGGCAGGGATTTAGTCTACAATGAGAACTTAGAATGAATAAAAGTCCAGGTGAGGTGCCAGTTGGAACATCCAGCAATTTTCTGGAGTCCCACCCACAGCCATGGGGGAAAAGAAGTGAGTTCTTTTTCCTACAGAACCATGATAACTGGGAAAACTGGCTTGATGGCATCTTCTCAAGCTCTGCATTGTGATGGCATCTTCTCAAGCTCTGCGTTGCAGGTTATAATGAAGGAAGGGAAAGGTGAAGAATGACATGATAAAGAGCCCTCATGAAAGAATTAGGGCAGAAGCATTGTGGTTTGGAGACGGTGATAAGGAAAGTCCAGCCTTTATTCATTAAAGTAGAGTCCCTTGGATATTTTGAATTTCTTTTCTGGCTTTCAGCAATCTAGGCTGAATAATAATAATAATAATAATAATAATAATAATAATAATAATAATAATAATAATAATAATAATAATAATAATAATAATAATAATAATAATAGCAGGTACCTCTCCCATCTGTTGGCAGTTTAGGTCTATAATGTCCCTCCTGTTGCTTCCACAAATTCTCCTCTCAATCTCTCACAAATCTAAAGGACTGCAACCTAAGACCCAATTCTGATTTAAAAAGTTCCCTGCAGCTTCTGCACTGCAGTACAAGCAATGAGGAAGAGCAGCTACTCCAGGGGGAAACACCTCTATGGTATAGGAATGGGACAATTTGCTACAGTCAACTTGCTGCGGCCAACTCACCATGATCAACTTGCCATGGTCAACTCACTGCAGCCAACTCATCATGGCCAACTCATTGCAGGACATCACTCTCTGTGATCAGCTCACCATGGGACAACTCACTGCGGGACAATTTAACAATTCTATTTAATCATTTAAAATAAAAAAAATATTTCAATTTTTGCCATTCACATTTTATTTTGTCCCTTCTTTTGCATCTTCCTTTAATGATTCTATTTCACCATTTCTTTGGTATTAGTGTAACTCTTGTCCGGCAGTGAGTTGTCCTGTGGCAAGAGAGTGACAGCAAGTTGTTCTGCAGCGAGTTGGCCGTGGCAAGTATATGTCAAAGTATATGTCCAGCATTTTACAGAAGACTATTGGGACATCAAAACAACACATGGATAGAAATCCCACTGGGTACGTATTTAAAATTCAACCTTCCCACCCCACCATTTAAGCAATGCAGTACCTAGGTTAAGGGGTACCTTTGCTGTAGGGAAAGGTAGGAATTACTTCTCCAGGTGGCAAAATAGAAGTTCTGTGCGGACTAGATTCTTGAGGTGCCAAAAGAATAAGCATCCAAAGTACCTGGATGCTTATTAATAAATAACATTTATTAACAATAAATGTTATTTATATAAACAACATTTATTGTCTCTGTCACTTATGGTTAACAAGACAAGATAACAGGAGAAAAAGCATGAGGGAATGGCATCCCACAGGATAAAGAAGCTAATAGCACAACATTGGTTTCTCATCCCTTCTTCCTTCCGTGAGGAAAATGGGAATGTTTGGTGCCAGGAAAGCTATCAGCCTTGTAGCCTGCATACTTTCTCTTCTCTAGCCTTGGCAAGAAAAATGGAAGAGATGAGTTTTTGGAAATCAGTTATTAGAGTTCAGGCAGGGGTGGGATTCAAAAAATTTAACAACCAGTTCTGTGGGCGTGGCTTAGGTGGTGGGCGTGGCTTGGTGGTCATGTGATTGGGTGGACATGGCTTACTGGTCATGTTATTGGCTGGGTGTGGCCAACTCAATATCACTCACATCGAGCCATGCATCTCCTCGCCTGGCCTCTCATGACTGTGAAGATGCTGCAACAGTCGTAAGTGTGAAAAATGGTCATAAGTCACTTTTTTCAGTGCCATTGTAACTTTAAATGGTCACTCCACACAAGCAAAGTACCAGCAAAGGAGGGGGAAAAAACTCCAGAGAAGTTCCAGAGACAGGAAGTCTAGTTCTGCCAAGAATGTAATAAGGGTTAATGGAGAGGCAGTTTCTGTCAGCAACACCAGAATGTTTCCTTCCTGCCTTCCTTACAGGATTAGGCCAGTAATTTCTTCTAACAACCGGTTCTCCAAACTGCTTAGAATGTTAACAACTGGTTCTAGCGAATAGGTGCAAACTGGTAGAATCCCACCCCTAGGTTCAGGCCATAGGTCAATTAAGTCTATATATTGAGAGTGTATTATACAGTGTATAAATGGTAATGAATATCAAAGAATGCATTATGCTAAGAGAAAACTGCTTAAAAGCATTACAGTCTTAGAAAAATATGTTCAGATATGTAGACATTAGGCAAAATGTGGAACCAAACAAAACTTGCAGTTGGAAAAAAATAAAAACCTGTACAAAATCAAACAGGGAGATTAACGTATTCTGGTTTACCAGAATATTATCTGATTTTTCACACTCTTTGTCTTCTTTAGAAATAAAAGTGATAGGAATGCATTGTTGGGTGCTTTTAGACAAGACTTTTATTGTGTTATTACCTATCATATTAACAAATTTGTAAGAGAGAACAGGGTCTACAGAGTTCCCTTGCTTATCCTACAATCTTTTCCTGCTGTTTCTTCTGTTTGTTTTTCTCATCACAAAAGATCCATTAAGGAAGCATTAATTTGATTCTAAGTGCCAGGAGATGTTTCCACTGGGAACTCTCTCTAAGGCTTCAGAAAAAAAAAGTTAAAAACTGAAATGAAAATATCTGATTAGATTACTTAAACCATTATGGGAGGGAAAACCACACATTCCAAACAAGGATAAGAGCAAATGTCTTTTGATTTATTTGAGGCAGATACTTGCAACAACCTTTCTAAGGATAAAAATGGCTGTTTATCAATAATCAATCAAAGCCTTTAATTAATATTTTAATAAGGAAGCAATTTTAACCAACATTTTCATAATATCACAAATACATCAGTTTACTAGAAAAAAATAATCCCCTCACCCAAACAGTAAACAGTAAATAAGTTGCAAAAAGAAAATCACAAAACTATTAGAATATGAGTATATGAGCATATGATCCATATTATAGATAAGAGTTCTTCACACAACCCCTTTTTTCTTGTGTTCAATGAAAGAATGAGAGAAATAGGGTGAATCCTAAGTAGCTAAAAAGTTCAGCACTTCAGCTTAGCCTGATGCTCACAAGTTAGTAGACTGATCCACTATTTCAACAAAGACCTGTATTTATTTAGGACCCTAAATAGTGAATTGTAACTATTGAGTAACATGATAAATCCTCTGAGGATATAGACCAGGGAGTGTGATCTTACCATCTTATCTCATTGATTGCCAAGAACAGATGTATAAAGATCTCATAGCTTCTCATCATTCAACATTTTATCAGACGTACCAGTTTATAGTTCCCAAAACTTGTCTCTTTTAGTCACAGGTGGCATGAAATAGGGATTGAAGTTAATTTCTTCATTAAGAGAATTTTTTCCCCTTTTCTTTCCTTTTCCTTTCCTCACCCCCACCCAGTTATAAAGTTAACTTTGTTAACTTCTATTTCATTTAAAGGAGAGAAAAATATTATCTTTATGGGGAGATCAATCATCATACATTCCTCAAAAACATACTCTCAAGCTAGCCATATCCATTCCTCCTGAGGGAGTCAATCTTTGAGATTAGACATGAAATATCAGCAATTCATGTACTCTGTGAGGCAAAAAACAACAACAAAAAAAAAAACAGATTATGGACTATGGCTTTCCATTAGCTGGAAAACATTCTCACAAGCTTTGTATTGACTTTATAATTCATTATTTCAATTAATACTATGCAAACAACTTTAGGTTTCATTAGCAACTTAGTAAAGTCAATGCATTTTTAACATTTAATGATGCATTTCTTTTAAAAAAAAGAAGCAGTAAAAGTTAGATCTTTATCTTACCTTCTAAAAAAGCAGGCAAGAGCTATACTGTAGGTGGAATAGTGTACCAAGTAACAGATTTTTGAACACTTTTTCTTACAGGTGGTATGCAGTCTATAGGAAAAGTAAATATATTTGTATATATAATCCATGGGTTTAAATATATCATATCATTTATTTTTATGAGCTAGTGTCACTCATAATATAAAGCTTGTAACCTGTCAAGGTGCAGTATATCATAACGTCAAGAAACCAAGAAGTTCCCCAAAAGGTTTGGGTATTTCCAAACACAAAAGAAAGTCTCCTTATATCAGAAGCATGACTTGGGACAGTTTATATACGAATTAATGATTTGTCCAGAATCCAGTCCCTTTCACCATGCTATCAGTCTTCATTGCTCTTCAAAATTTGAGGTATGGGTTGATTTTCTTATCTCTCCTGTCCCTCAAAAGATGAAGTAGGCAACAACATGCCAAAGATGTCAGAAACTAATACAGATGAACAAGCAAAAGAGATAGCCCAGCATAGCAGCATTTGTACAGCGGACTGTGGGATACATTCACCATTCACTCCTCTTTAAACACGTGTACACAACCAATGGAAACTTTTAAGCCCTGCCTTCTTTTATTTGATTGCATTCTTACATCCTTCTAGTCTGAAAGAGACAGAGACTCACAGGAGAGTTAAACCTTATGTATGTATGCTACCACTATTCTAGCTGAATTGTGTTTTGGCAACTCATTTTGGAATAGCATGGAGAGGAGGGAGAATAACTCCTAGCTGAATTGAAGTGAGCTTCTCTTAATGCATATGAAATAGACAACCATTTCATTTTACAAGAAATATAACTTGTAGTGATCAGAAGGTGACTCCTTCAGCTGATGATAAGAGTCAAGTGTTATATTTCACACTGCATTTTCTCCCAAATATTATTTTCAAAGAACATCAATCATACATTACACTGCCTGTATATGTGAGAGACAGGGGGGAGGAAGAGAAAGAGAGGAAGGGAGGGAGGGAGGGAGGGGGAAGGAAGGAAGGAAGGAAGGAAGGAAGGAAGGAAGGAAGGAAGGAAGAAAGAAAGAAAGAAAGAAAGAAAGAAAGAAAGAAAGAAAGAAAGAAA